CTAAACTAAGCAAGTTACAACAAAAATATATTGACCAAAAATAGATTAAATTCAAATTATGAATTTGAATCTTTTGGATGATCCTTAATACHCCCCCGCAAGATGGAGGAGCCATTGGAGACTCCAATCTTGGACCGTAGATGAAGAAATGTAGAGCGGGGTAGTGGTTTGGTGAGAGCATCAGCAAGTTGATCCGTGGAGTTGATATGGAGCACTCGAAGAGAGCCATTGGTGACTTTTTCTCGTACAAAGTGGTAGTCCAAGGCGACATGTTTCATCCTAGAGTGGTAAACCGGATTGGAACACAAGTATGTGGCTCCTGTATTGTCGCAATAGAGAGTTGGAGAATGATCCGTGGCAATACCAAGTTCATGGAGTAGATTTTGTACCCAAGAGACTTCAGCGGAYGCATTGGCAAGAGCCTTGTATTCTGCCTCCGTAGAGGATCGGGATACCGACTTCTGTTTGGCAGATCGCCATGAGATAATGTTCCCCCCAAGATATAATAAGTACGCTGTAGTGGACCGACCAGCAGTAGAAACGCCRCCCCAGTCRGAATCGGAGAAAGCTTTGAGATCAAGYGTWGTTGCYCGTTTCAAGAWGAGACCATGATGTATGGTGCCTTTTAAGTAGCGGAGAACTCTTTTTAATGCTTGCCAATGCATTTGAGAAGGAGCATGCATAAACTGTGATAACTTATTAACCGCAAATGAGACATCGGGTCTTGTAAATGCGAGATATTGGAGGGAGCCCACTAGTTTGCGATACGGAGTCGGGTCAACCGGGGGAGAGCCATCCATTAGGGTGAGAAGAACTGATGAGGATAGTGGAGTGGCAACTTCTTTTGCACCATCCATGTGAAAGTGGGTGAGAAGATCTTGAATGTGACGATGTTGAGAGAGGAAARGGCCAGAAACKGKGGAGATAACCTCTATGCCAAGGAAGTGATGTAATGGACCAAGGTCTTTGATAGAGAATCGTTGGGCAAGAGTGTGGACAAACTTGGTCAAGAAGGTAGGATTGTTACCGGTGAGGATGATATCATCAACATAAACCATGAAGTAGCATGTGACACCATCGTGATTATAGATGAAGAGAGACGCATCTGCCATAGATTTATGAAACCTAAAGGAGATAAGAAAGGTGGAAACTCAGTGTATCAGACACGAGGTGCTTGTTTAAGGCCATAAAGAGATTTTTTGAGTTTACAGATGTGGTTAGGAAATTGAGGGTGGATGTAACCGGGAGGTTGGAGCATAAACACCTCTTCAATCAAGGTGCCATGAAGAAACGCATTGTTCACATCGAGTTGACGAAGTGACCAATTTTTTGAGAGGGCAATGGAGAGAATGGTTCGAATAGTGACGGGTTTAGTGACTGGACTGAAGGTGTCAAAATAGTCTTTGTCGTATTGTTGTTGGAAACCTTTTGCCACTAACCGAGCCTTGTATTTGGCAACAGAACCGTCTGTGTTGCGTTTGACTCGAAACACCCATTTACAATTGATGGGAGTATGAGAGGAGCGTGGAACAAGCTCCCAAGTGCCGTTATGAAGTAAGGCATTGAACTCCGAGTCCATTGCTTTGCGCCAATCTGGATTTTTCATGGCTTGAGTGTAGGTGGTGGGTTCAAGAGTGGTAGGAATCGGGTGTAGGGTGGATGTATTAATAAATGTGGAGTTAAAGTATTTAGAATTCGGTTTTCGGTGTCTTGGTGGAAGCGGAGGTGAGGGATGAGAAGGGTGGGCATGTTGGTCTGGAGTGGGTGAGGAGGAGGTGAAGATGGCAGATTGGGGAATATGTTGGTTAAGAGTAGTAGCTTGGGAGGAAGTTGGGGAGGAGAGGGCAGGTGATGACTGGTTGGGTGATAAGGTTTCATTGGGGTCTAGCATGGAGATGGTAGAAGAGGGTGCATGTGGGGCTGCATGTGAAGTAGGCAAAGGTGGTGGGGCAACAATAAGTGAATTTGGAATGGCAGTGGAAGGTACATGCATATGTGTTTGAGGTGGCATAGATGTTGCAAGAAAATTGTTAGCTGTAGGTAGAGGAGGAGAGCTATGTAGGGTGCTTTTGTAGGAAAAAATGTGATTGAAAAACTCGATATGTCGGGAGTGATAGAGTCAATTATTTTTGGGATCAAGGCATTTATAGGCTGATTTTGATGGGAAGTATCCAAGAAAGATGCATGGTGCGGATCGGGGTTGAAGCTTGGATTGTGTGTAGGGCCTAAGCCAAGGGTAGCATAGGCATTCAAAAGACTTTAATTTGGAGTAATTGGGTGGTTGGTTGAACAAGAGTTCAAATGGACTCTGATGATCAAGGACCGGAGTGGGTAGTCTATTTATTAGGTAAACGACAGTTTGAAAAGCGTGTGTCCAAAAATGGAAAGGCAGACCGACATAGTGAAGGAGGGCTAGCCCAGTTTCAACAATATGGTTGTGGCGTCGTTCAGCGGTTCCATTTTGTTATGGTGTGTGGGGAGGGGTGGTATAGTGGGAAATGCCATTTGTTTGTAGAAAAGAGGTTAGGCCTTGGTATTCGCCACCATTGTCGATGAATAGAGATACAAGTGGGGTGTCAAAATATTTTTCCACTAGTGATTTAAACTGTGGAAATAAGGTGGCAACATCCGATTTACGTTTTATTGGCTATAGCCAAACATACTTGGAGTAAAAGTCCACAAATATGACATAATATTTGAACTGGTCAATGGAAGTTTGAACGGGTCCCCACACATCTGAGTATACAAGTTGTAGTGGTTTGTTCGCAACAAGTGAATTTTGACCAAATGGAAGTCTATGAATTTTGATACCATATAATGGTGTGATGTTGGTAATATTTTTATGATAATGAGATGCATACAGTGAGGCTATTTGTAGCCATTTATAACAAATGGAAAGGCGAATATTATGGAGCTAAACTAAGCAAGTTACAACAAAAATATATTGACCAAAAATAGATTAAATTCAAATTATGAATTTGAATCTTTTGGATGATCCTTAATANTGGAGCTAAACTAAGCAAGTTACAACAAAAATATATTGACCAAAAATAGATTAAATTCAAATTATGAATTTGAATCTTTTGGATGATCCTTAATAGAAAGAACGGTGGTGGAAAAAGAATAAAATCAAAGAAAAGGGGAAATAAGATGAATTAAGATATTAGTTTATCTCTTATTTGTTTAGACCCTATTAAGTGATAAGAGACCCTGAAAATAATAAAAGAACAAATAGTCTGAATTACAAAACGTCTGAATCATAAGTGGTAATTAAGAGATGAAAATGAAAAAAAAAAAACAAACAAGACCTAAGTTACCACTTTTTTTTTCAGATAAGTTTTAGTGATAAGAAGGTTTGAATAGATAAAAATAAATAAACAGTCTTAATTTGGAAACATCTGAACCCAAAATTGAAAATAACATTGAATTCAAGAAATACTAATATATAAAAAAGGGTATGAAAAAATCTTCAATATATTGTTTTTACATCGAAAATAATATTGAATTCAAGAAATACTAATAATTCATATAAAACTGGTTTTATAAATATTCCTACACGCAAAATCAATCAATAATGATTTCTAAATTAATATCATCTACCATATTACTTTTACATAACATCGACAATCAGTTTCATCTTCAAAAACATCTTATGATATATACTGTTAATATATAGATTGAAATCATTTGAGGGGTCGTAATATTGACCACTCGAAGTAACACTCTATGTAAATCAACAAATCAATTGAGTTTCCATATCACCTTATGCTAATGTTTTTCATCATTTTTTTAAACTTTTAGATTAAAACAAACTTTTGCGAAATCACCAACTTATAATCAAAAGCCCATGTTGGTTATAACTTGAGATCTTATTCATATTTTAGAGATATGATAATACTTTAGATTTATGCACTCAATATTAGGTAATAAAGAGATAATAATACATGAAAGCGAATAGATATAAGTTTGAATGGTCTCATCTGGTTGATAATTTTTTTTTCCAAAAAATATGAGTTTTTTTATAAGTTAATAGTAAGAAATATATTATATTACAATACAAAATAGATTTATGCGGATGGAATAGAAAAAAAAACAAAGAATATATCATAGGCAAGTAGTCTTAGGGGTCGTTTACCAAACGCTTATCCGGGCAAGCGTTTACCAAGTTACGTTATCTTACTGAATGAATATGGCAAGGATCAAGAATCTTACTTGCTAAGAACGAGACAAGGACCAAGAGTCTTATCTGGTAAGTGAGGGCGACGACTCTTACCATAGTAAGTGATTACTGGGTAAATTGTTGCATACGATATTGTTTTGGTAGACTAAAATTTTACCCGGTAAGTAAATAATAATGTTAAATTTTACCGGTAAGCACTTACCGGATAAGTGTTCGGTAAACGGCCCCTTAGAGTTTGGTGGTAGGTAAAAGCTTACAGAAACAATAAACAATACTATAAAATTAACGATCAATTAATTTTTATATATTTTCTTTTCCAATGTAGTTATTTAATTAACACAGGTTTGGACCCTTAATATAATACTAAATTCTGTTTGGATCCTATTAGATACTTAAAAAATATGTTTTTTAATTTACTAATTATTTAAACATTATTTAATAATTAAAATATTTAAGCGTTATTTGATAGCAGCATTGTTGATCATGCCATTATTTGATGCCATCGATAAACACATTATGATGAAGGAGTGAAACCATTTTTGAAAATATACGTCTTGAAATGGTTTCACTTCATCATAATATGTGTATCGATGGCGTCAAAGAATGGCATGATCAACAACACTGCTATCAAATAATATTTAAATATTTTATTTTCTTGAGATATATTTTATTAAAAATAATGAAAATTGAGAGAAATACAAGTAGATTGAGCACCAAAAGCCATCAACATCACCAAAATAATAAAAAATAAAAATAATATTGAATTATTGATTAAAAACTCCTATAAAAGAAAGGGAAAATAGACTCTACAACCTCACCATCACACTATCATCTCCACTATTCTATTCCATGGCAAGGTATCCACTCTTGTGTCATATTTATCTTAGATCTTATACTTGCTTAAAATATTGTTTTCATCTTTGTCTCATCTAAATTCATTATGAATAACACTTTTTGTAAATCTAATTCATTATGAATAACACTTTTTGTCTATCTAATTCATTATGAATAATCAGATTGACAGGTAAAGTTGCACTGATAACAGGCGGAGCTCGAGGGATTGGTGAATCCATTGCAAGATTGTTCACTAAACATGGAGCCAAAGTCATAATCGCGGACGTCCTCGATGATTTGGGTCAAAGCGTTTGTGAAAGTATAGGTCTCGAAATGGCATCGTTCATTCATTGTGATGTGTGCAATGAGTTAGAGGTCGAAAAAGTCATCAACTTCACCATCGATAAACATGGTAAGTTAGACATTATGATCAATAACGCTGCGATTGCAGGTGAATTGAAGTTAAGTATTCTCGAAAACGACGTGAGTGATTTCGAACGAGTCTTGGACATCAACGTGAAAGGTGTTTTCTTGGGAACCAAACATGCTGCCCGTGCCATGATCCCGGCTCGTGGAGGTAGTATTATCACAATTGGAAGTATTTGTTCGGCTGTAGGTGGTGTCGGTTCTCATGCATATACGAGTTCTAAACATGCCGTTGTGGGACTCACCAGGAACGTCGCTGCTGAGCTTGGAGAGTTTGGAATTCGTGTCAATTGTATATCGCCCCATTTCATCCTAACGGAGGCAACAAAACCGATTCTTGAGAAACACCCAGACTTGTATTCTAGCATTCACTTCGACCTCAAAGGCGTCGTTCTTCTTGAACAAGATGTGGCCGAGGCGTCCCTGTTTCTTGCTAGTGATGAGGCCAAGTATATAAACGGACATAATTTAGCGTTGGATGGAGGCTTTACTGCGATCAATTCATCGTTTGGCCTTTTCTCACGAGGTAGGGCAGCTCGTACGACGACATCGGAACCATGATTGTTCGAGTTCGAGAATAATAAACTAGAAAACCACATATGGACTATCAAATAATATGACTTCTGTATCCGAAAAATTATGTTGTATGTCATTTGCTATTGAATTCTATGATATAAGTGGTTAAAAATTTGCATTTTACAGATCAATAATCAACAGAAGATCTGTTTTTCTATCACCCCATGTGTTCTTGTTAGATATGCAACACAACTTAGGTGCCGTTTATGAAATACTGGGTAACTTACCTTACGAATGAATGTAGACTGTACCAAGAATCTTATCTAGTACGAGAGTAAGTGAGTGCGACGACCCTTACCCGATTAACGCTTACCATGTAAATTGTTGCATACAATACCGTTTAGATGACTTAGCATTAATTTTACCCGGTAAGGCAAACAAAAGTGTTGAATCTTATCCTTAAACATTTACAAGGTAAGCATTTGGATAGACGATCCCTTAATGGTTAAATAGTTATTAAGCTCATCAAACTAAGGGGGTGAACGTTTTTTTTTTTCTTTCTATTTTAAGACAATTTATTCTTAATTGTACATAAATAAGTCACTTCAACTCAAAATTAAAAGTAGAAAAAGAAAATATACATTTTATTTTAAGACAAACTAAAATATTAATATAGATATTTATTTTGAGACAAACTAAAATATTAATGTAAATATTTATTTTGAGACAAAAAGAGAGTATCTGATTCCACTGTTAGAATTTATATTCATAACATAAAGTCAGTGTCATTCCTAAAATAAAAGAGTAGGGCCCCAGGTCTTTCAAAAATATTTAATATATATTATTTATTTTTACTGGTTATTTCTATTTGTTTTAGTTGTCTGCTTAACTGATCTATCTTCTCTTGGTTATTTCTATTTGCTTTAGTTTTCTTGTTATGAATTAGGAGAAATTACTATCTTTGGAAAACTACCAACCATAGTAGTAGACCTGACCAACTCGATCAATTCAATCCAACCCAATACGAAATAACTTAACTCGAAACAACCTGATGTCTAATCGAGTTGTAAAATTCTCAAACCGTAGGTATTGGGTAACTATTATTTGAACCCAACCCAACCCAATGAACCCAATATTTTTTTTTATTTCTTGGATTTAACATGATTGTTGAATTTCTATTAATATGTACATTAGACAATTACACTATCATATATGCTCTTTATATACACATATTTTCAATCAATTAATATCTTTATATAACTCATTCGTATATATGTTTAGTAGCTGTAAACATATATATATATATATATATATGTAAATTGAGAAAATTAACTGAATGTGATATACGTAAGAAGTATGGATAAGTTGTTTCAAATGGTTGATGATGAAAAAGAAATTATGAATAAAGAAATAATATATTCTGGGTTAAAAGAATATTTTAATGTACCAAAGTATCAACCCGATCAACCCGTACAGGTTGGGTTGGGTTGGGTTGCACTTTGGTTCGGGTTGGGTTGAGTTAAGATTTTTTAAACCGCAATCATTAGGTTAGGTTGTTCAATCAACACGATCAACCCAACGCATGAACACCCCTACATAGTAGATGGTCCAAATCATATCTATATTTAGTATTTTCAAACTACCCTTGTTTTTTTATACACTCTTACTTGCACTTGCCTAGTACTCCTACTCAAATCTTAATGACTATCTTATCTATAAAAATAACAATAATAAGATCTCAAATTATAACCAACATGCACTTTTTATCGTAGAAGATATATGTACCATAAGATGTATTTGATGGTCGAACATATGGGCAGTGCTATATATTGGAAAATAGATGTTAAATAATATCGATCTACAAACTATGACAGATTTTCTATCAACAAGTACTCGAAAAGTTATTTTGAATGAAGCATTAATTCTATTTTTGTTGATAAAAATAATCTACTGAAATAACTTTTTATATTTATCGAGGGCAATTTTTAACATACGTCTTAGACCTACAAAATATAAGGTTGAAATTGCTTGGAATGATCAACGAGATCAAGATCAAGATGCAGGAACTTCATAACAAACTACTCCAAGCAAAGACTATGTACGATTCACTTTAAAATTATGGCTATATTTCTAAAATAACTGATAGATTATTACTAGTTGTTAGTTAATATATTAACTGATAAATTAATTGTATTTGATAAAATATAGACGATAAAAATCGACTTAAAATGGCACGTTAAAAATAAATTGGAAAACTATAAGTGTTAAATTAAGAAAAAAACACTTTTAGGGGATGTTTGGGATTGCTTATTTGAAACAATTTATGTTTTTCTATAAAAACACTTATCAACTTATTATAAACGAGAAGACTTTAAATTCTTCAAAAACTTCTTATTACCGGTTTGGCACCGATATAAGTTGTTTATCCAAACACTCAAAAGTGTTTATTACCGGTGTCACATCGGAATAAGTCAATAAGTAATTTTTTATAAACAATCTCAAACACCCCTTAAAACTTATTAAAACGTTATTTGAAGTAACTTTTAAAAAACAGATAGCTTATAATTAATCAAAAAAGATTTTTTAATGAATTTAAAATCTAAAATAAATTACAAAATTAACTTATAGTTTCCAAACATGACCTATATTTTAACTGATCTAAAAAATTATGGCTCTCAACCAGGGCCCTAGCATATGCTGGATCATGAAATGTATCACCGCATCATTTTGTTGTGTGCAATTATATATATTTTGAAACTACAATACAGTACAAGCCTCCCTTAGTATAGTTGGTTTGCATGACTTTTCTCCTACCCTAGGTGCAAATTTGAATCGTGTTTGAATTAGTTTCTTAATTTTTTTTATTATGTTTCTAAAAGAATTTACAATAAAAAATTCGAACAAATACCTCAGATACGTAAATCAAAAACCTAATCAATAAACCAATCATTTCATGAAAATATCCAGGTCTTCTTTCTTACAGTTAAATAGTATTACCATTTGAAAAAATTTATTGGACTCGTGGTAGATATGGTAAATAATAATAAAAAAAAACAATAAAATATAAAACTATTTTTTTTACTAAAATAATGTAATAATAATTTAAAATTATGGTCGTTGGTAATGGGTGCCAACTCACTTTAATTATGGCTACGTTCTATAAAAAGGTTGTTAAGGTTATCCGCCTTTGCACAAAATCTCTTTCCCTTGATTTTAATTTGATTTTAAAATGCTAAATATTAGGTCACGTTTTATTAAATATTTTTTCTGATTTTAAAATTTTAAAAATTCGTTAATTTTAACACGTTGTTATTGTAATTGGACATGTTGATAATAATGATTATGTCAAAGTAGGATTAAGGGTATTCATTACTTATTGTTATGTCATAGTTGGTTTATTTCATATATGATTACACAACGACATGAGTTACTTCCTATATGAATCGATTTGATATTACAGTAAAAAATTAAGTCGAAACTGTTCAATTGATAATGACGATGTAATTTGAATAATGAATGTTTCAATCTTATTATAAGTTAATATATGTTCCGTTGCTTTTAATTACTTTTTTTTTTCTTAATGTTTTTAGTTATTGATAAGTGTTAATTTATTAACCTTATTACATCATTTTTTTTAATCATTTTCACTTATTTTATTTGCCCATTAGTGTCGTAATTGAGTCTTTTCATGTCATCTTTATATCTATATATATAATAGTAGTGTTATATCATATCTAATGTTAATTCTCTATTTATGCAGACTTTTGATGATTTTTGAGCTAAGTACTGCAACTGTCCTGTAGGAGCATGTGTGGCAGAGTCCTATAGCACCAATCAGTGAGCTGCATTTTTTGTCTGAGCCGAATTTCCTTGGGTTGCTCCTTTGAAGATGTTGAATCTAAGGCCTTGGGCCTGGAAGCCCGTTTTTGAAGACCTCTTTTATCTTATTAGTTAGCCCCCTTGTGCAAGCTTCCTTTTCTTATAAATAGGTGCTTAAGACTTGGTTTTATACACAAGGATACACATAACCTTTGTGTTAAAAGTAATTACTCTATAATATTTTAGCTTTTGGTTTTCTTGCATTCGGTTTTTTTGCTTCCAACCAAGAACCGAATTTGTAAAGTAAAGTTGTGATTATATTCTCAAGTTTTAATGCAAGTGCTCGTGTTTAATCTTCATCTCTTTTCTGTTCTTGTTCTTGTTCTTGATTTATAAACGCTTTCCGACTTTTGTTACAAAGTTGAAATTAATCGATCTATGTTGCTTTACATTGGACTTTATCTTTTGTGGCTCACAATTAATTTCCGTAGACTAAATATTCTGTTTTCAAGTATTTACAAGTAAATCTTCGCTTTTGGAAACGAAACTTGTCTCACAAGTTTCGTAACTTGGAGTGTAAGTTCTTCCAAAGTCTTCTTTTCTTTTCAAGCTTTCAATCATCACATCTTAGTATACAAGTGTCGACTTTATGTCTTAGAATAATTTTAATTATTATCTCTTAGTAGTTTAATTTCAGTCTTTTATATTTCAGTCCTTTACATTTCAGTCTATTAATTTATGCACTTTACTTTCCTGCATTTTAATTTCTAGTAATTTACTTTCAGTCATTTATATTCTTGCAATTTAAATTCCAGTACTTTAATTTTCAGTCATTTATATTTCTGTAATTTACTTTTCAGTACTTCAATTTCCAACATTTTAATTTCTCGCAATTTACTTTCTGCAATTTATTTTTCCGTATCAGTTATTTATCTTTCAGTCTTTACATCATTCGAGAGAAGAAACCGAGCGATGATGGATTAAACGCCTTAGCTTGGGGTGTAAGAGAAAATTAAGACTAAAACCGATGTGAAAGTACAAAGGTGTCTTATTAGCATTATAGTCTGTTATTTGTTTCAGGTTATTAGTATTTCATTTAAAGATTACATTAAAATTAATTGACAACAGATTTTGTGTATGAAAATGTATTGACTTTCAAAACCTGAGGTAATAGGAGAAGGCTATAAATAGCTTTAGTATCTGACAAATGCTATACTCCTACGGTGTAGGATGGTAACACTATGTTGTGCTAGGATTCACGACGTCTAACATAAATGATATCGTATCGATAGCACGTTGACCGGTGTGTACTCTTGGGAGGCCGTCTAACCCGATAGTTGATATTGTGACAGTTATATAAAATCATTTATTGATTTTAGATAATTTTGACAGGAA